GGGGGGGGTGGGCGTTGGAGAAAAAGCACGCGGCTCCACTACGCCGCCGATTTTGGATGGGGGAGGGGGGGCTGGCGTGTAGGTTTGCCCGGAACCAATCTTCCGTCGGTGCTGACCGGAGACAAAATAAAAGAGAAGAATGTCATTGTCTCTGGCATACTTTCCTTTGTTGGTTTTCGTTTTTTGAATTGATTGGTTGGGATTTATTGAGATAAGAAAGGTCTTGTTGATTGTGTACACTCCTTGTCCTTATTATAGATTGATATATCTTATAGGCAAGACGTTGATGCGACATCCTCATCCCGTCCTCCCCCCCTCTTCCCCCTTTGCCTTGGTGGGTGATGGTGGGGGTCGTATGGTGCAATTTTGATTTCTTGCAGCGGGTGCATACATGCTAGGCTGATTTATTTGCTGATGGAAGCCAATTCATTCTAGTGCTGATCGATGCACGAGGCTTGGACTGGGGGGTTCCTTGTTGACCAAGTGGAGCGGAAAGTTACCCGTGCTCAAGGCTTCCGGGTTTCCTTTTTCATCTGAGGGGGACTTGTGAGTGGAGATTTTGCATCAAGTGTGACCCTACATTTATTTACTTGGCTGGGTTAATTGTGTTACTGACTGTTTTGAGTTGAACAAGTTGATTCTAAACACCGAGTGCTTTGTGGCTGGGCTCCAGCTCATGGATGTACATTCAATGTTGAGGTGCAACCGTTTTAGTGTTCATGCTTGCTTTTTCTGATGTGCCGCTGTTTTGCCGCGAGCTAGTGATGGTGTACGCGCAAGCCACGATTGATGAACTTGTTTGGCGGACGCCCCAGATGCAGCCAATTGAGTCCGGCAATTGCGACAGGTATTAGTGATCAGATGTCTTATATCCATAGTTTATAATGTCAATGCGACAGCCATGTGTCCAGAACGATAGTGCTAAGCTTGTCTCGACCACGAAACATGTCACTATTCTTGGGCCTGATCGGGCAATTTATTCGATGACGCGGATGCTCGTATAAGCCCGTTCGCTTCCTATACAAAAACCACGTGGTGCAAGGGGCCGCCCGTCATGGTGGATGTGGCTGAGTAAGGATCCACCGTTGGAGATGACCCAGTTGACAATAGACAGAAGGGGGGATGCGGCTTGCTTGTAGACCAGCAAAGCTGATAGTATGTGGTTACAGAAAGCGAAGTCCCACAATAGAACGGGCAAGAATCGGCATGAAGGCTGGAAATATTAAGAGCAGTGGTTATAGCGCGTGGCAGCTTTTACCAGTAACATGAAATGTGGCTGGGAATCCGTCGATGGCGTTGTAACGCCAGCGACTGATCGATGGTTCGATAGTTGCAAGAACGGAGATAGTCGCAATTCTCCTCCCACATGTAGTACCCGAGGCAGTGGAATCATGGCCGTGCTCTGTTTCGCGCACAGCTTAGATGTCGTGTACTCAGTACGCCACGGCTTAGATCCGGCGTTGGGTCCTGGGAAAGTTGGAGCTAGCGATATGCTATTGGAGCCTTATATACCAAACAGGGATGGACTTGCATCGTCACCAAGCCACAGACCTTGGTGACACACGGCAAAGATGCCAAGTGAGTACAGCAACAGGACTAATCGCCCTAGAATAGCAAAGACTGCCATGTCCCACCTGATTAGACGTGCCCAATCAGAATATCGCAGCGCTGACGACCTCTTCAAGTGACATTTGGACCGCAGTATCTGGACACTCAGGAGATGGGTTGTCAAAGCTCCGCCCAGGTTCTTGGATGTTCGTATAGACGGGACATTGGAGATATGAGAACTCAGTGTCTTTGGGCCTGTGCCCCGTACCATGGCAATCGTCTTGATGGATGGCATTCTAATACGAAGCTGGAAACCGCTGCTTCGAGGAGGAAAAGAGTCATGAACTTGGTGGGCCCACCTCGATGTTTGGTCAGGGCGGTTGAAGGGGCCGAGCTAGAGTCCGAGAACTAGCATGTATGCCGACCACATTGGGCCGTTCCTTGCGTTAAAGTTTGGCATGGATTTAGAGTTCGTAAATGGAGATTGTGATTGGCGCAAAGCTTGTAGATCTCTGCAGGGCTCCGACTAACCGGCTTTAGTGCGGAACCTGCTCCAACCTTGTGGCTTGGCGAGAGGCGTGTTCCTATTGTCCGACATGGGAGCTTTCTCTATCAATCCGCTCCACCAGCTTGTGAGAACAACGTTTCGCGAAACTCGGTACATTTACTCCACAGTTTCAGGATTTCAGATGGCTTCGCCGCTGCTGGCCGGCTCTTGAACATGAAATGCGAGGGTGCTCATGCCTACGCCAACTGTATCTGTCTTGCACCCAGTAGCGGTGACAAGAGCTTCTCCGGCGCCAATAAGAACCTTCAGATAGGTTCGGATGTTTCTGCATTGGGATTACCTACATATCTGTGTGGTGTACTAGAGATAGTGTAACCTTAGGTGGATGGAATCACGGCAGATCAGCAGCATACCCTCTTTTTCTCAGCGGTATCGCTATAGCAAGTATCGACAGCCAAGTCAAATCAGTTGACAGCACACTGAAATGCTGGGTCAGATCAAGAAAATACGTCGGATCTACTGACAGGGAAGCGCTCCTTACCGTCTAGTTTCACCCTGCGCGGGGATTTTTTTCCTTAAATACGAACCCCAATGGAACGCTTGATTGGGGCCGCCCTGTGAGTCCAGGTGCCACGCGAGCTCCACATGCTATGTGACACTGTCTCCCCGACTGCAGTCTGTGCTTAGGTGTGTGCCGCAGCTAATAACGGACCCATATGTCATGTTTGAGACCCAGTCAGTAAGCCAGCCAACCAACATAATACTGAGGCCTGGATCCTTGGGCTACTCGTTTTTCCTGATCTTGTTCCCTTTCTCGCGACCGATCGTATCCCCAGACCGCCGCCTATAGGTACCATTGTGCCTGCATGCCTTGCATGCACGTTCCAACCCGGTCTTCAGCAATACATAATGCAGCTGCCGCCAGCGTCAGTCATACTGAGCTGGCCGACCCCCAACTATGACGACCCAGTAACGCGAGGGCCAGCGCTTGTCATAGTCAATGCTATCTTCATATCACTAACATTCCTCATTGTGGCTGCGCGACTATATACACGGATTGTAATCAAAAGATGGTTCGGCGTTGACGATGTCTTCATCTTGCTCGCGCTTGTAAGTAGTCTTCTCTCACAAACCCACTCTTAGCTAACATAGTGTAGTTGTTCGCAGTGGGCCTCACAGTTGTTGTCCTCTTAGCGAACAAGTCATACGGATGGGATAGGTAAGTGAATAAGCATGAATGTGTACTTCAAGAAATCCTTTCTGACGTGGCCACTATAGACATGTTTGGGACATACCGATTTCAAATTTTGTTCCAACATTCAAAATCGCTATGGCGGCCAAGTTAGCCTTCACAGCGGCAGCAACCTTCACTAGGCTCTCGCTCCACTGCTTCTACTACCGTCTGGTCTCGGATTCAGGAAAAACGTGAGTCGTTAGCTGTGATATGCTTCATGTGCCAAGTACGAATACTAATACCTGCTGCGCTTCAGATGGTTCAGGTGGCTGGTTCACTTCAACGTTTTCTACACAGTCAGCAGCTTTCTGTCATTTACCTGCATCGCGATATTCTTTTGCATACCCGTCAAAAACTACTGGACTCTTGGTGCACCGTCAGAGACCTGCTTGGATGAAGCAAGTGCAACTCTAATTGTTGGAATAATCAACTGTGTTGCAGATCTTCTGACAACAGTGACACCCATTCCTTTGGTAATGGGAGTAAGTTCTCTTCCACTCGGGCAAAACGATACATGCTAAAAACCCCAAGTTACAAATGCCTCTCCACCAACGTCTAGCCGTGGCCTTTTTCTTTAGCATGGGTTTCATAGTAACTGGCGCTGGCATCGTGCGAACTTGGTTCATATATCGGAGTCTCTTCAACGAGTGGGATCAAACATGGTATGCATATCCACTATGGATTGCAGCTGCCGTGGAGATTGATCTGGGAGTAGTAAGCACGTGTGACCAAATCTTTGTACAGGGCTAACCAAGAATAGATGTGCGCGTCAGCTCCCGTTCTCAAGCCACTGCTCGCGAAGATACCCTGGAGTCTATCTGGAGCGCTGACCGGAGGTTTATCTTTCAAGAAATCGTCACTTGGTACCTCCAAAACGCTTACGGCCGGTCAATCAGCAGGCTTCATGTCAACGCGAAGATCCGCCGCTCCCCAAAGCATACCAGAGCTCATGTCTGACAAAGGACATAGTTATGAGATGAAAAACTGGCAAGAGGCGACACCAGGACAGGTGAACACAGATCTAGAAAGAGGCAACCAAGAGACGGTTTCCGAAGAGGAGGAAAGGTCAAAGGATGGCGTGATGCGCTGGCTACAAAAACTTCGACCAAACTGCACAGCAACAAACAAGGAACAGGAAATGACTATTACCTTGACCAGCCAAGTGGAGCTGAAGAGCGAACCTGCAGTATCGCGCGATGGTTCTCCGAGCCGGTACAAGTCGTTTCACGAGAACCATATGCCGCTTCCAGCATCGATACCTGAAAGAGCTACACCGACCGACGATCGAATAAATCCAATAGCTGAACATGACAGCGGTAGAGCAAAATAAACCCATATATCCAGCATTGACTGTGTGGAATTCTAGCGTTATACATTTAATGAAGTTTGTACATTGTTGCAGCTATAATATACTAATTCTAACATAGTAATATTCGCATGATAGTTTTGCAAGATGGAAACCGAGGATTTTCAACACACCTTGATCGCATATAACGGTCCGATTCCAAGCCGAAGGAGGCGCAATGAAAGCGGTATTCGTTCCGAAAGAATGGCGGCAGTCTAGCCAATATGTGCATTGTACTGTCGGGACATGACCAAGTTGGCGGTCGAGACCTCCACATAATGCGCAAAGGCACGAGATGCACAAATGGACCCACATGTACCTCGGCACGTACCTCATGGACACATACTCCAGATCCAAGATTTTCTACAACCAGCCGGAATCCTAACTCACCAGAGAAAGATTATTGGGCAACTGCCATCTAGACTCTTTGTTGGCCACGACGCCCACGTGATCAAATACAGAATACACACATCCTTGGACAGGTGTCAAGAGAAACTACTCCGTTATGTCCACGTACGTACTCCCATTGCGCCGACGATTTTGGCCGCACTCACCTGTCATCCGCGTCACCACGTTCTAATTGCGGAAACCGGTACAACACCCCCTTAAAAACATTACCAAAAACATGTCATTTTGAGTTCTCTTACCATCTAACGCATGAAAATGATGGCGTCACATGGCATCTGTTGGGAGAATTTGAGGCGTTCGTATTCTCGGCACCCGAAGTTTACTTGCTTCTGCTAAAATTGTCGGTCCTTTGTCCTTACTACTAAGTTTTGCAAGTACAAAAAAAACTTTCAACGGGAGGAAAATCGGTACTTTTCGATGTACCAAAATTAACAAAGTAAGAACCAACGAACCACAAACACATGTTCGCTTTTTGGTGAGTGATTTTGCCTCGGTGCAGGGATACGTACGTATGGATAGGTCTGGTTCGACTGGTGGGAATTTCCACAAAGCTAGATGGTGTATACTAGAACGAACAATCAATAAGTCTACGTTGAGCGCCTCCCAAATTCAGTAAAGAGCGTTTGCAGCCCCCAGTTCACGTGCCAGTGTTGTACATGTAAGGTGTGTATTGTGATTGGGTGGGCTGTCATTGGTATGCTGGTTCGTCTGGGGCACATCGGGCCATCGGGCTGCCGATGCACGTTACCAAGCTTTGCTCCGCTTAGTCTTGTGTTCGCTTTGCCGGCTTTTGGCAAAGCTTGTTTATTTATTCCGGCGCTATGATGCACATCCACCGTGTTCCCCCGCATGATTGTTACTGGAATAGAGGGGCAACTAAGTAGTGAATAGGCTGATCTTACAGGACATTAGCCCTATGTGACGTGACCGCTGCGTTTCTGTTGGAGGGAAAATAGTGGGTAGTTGCACTGTTGCACTGTAGAATGGTACATGCTCTGGGTAATTATAGCTACAGAAACACGAGACCACTATAGATAAATAGAAGTAATGTAGCTCGTGGGGATCCAGAGGAGCACAGAGGACTTGGGTTTGTCTTTTTTCTTCATATCCAAAAAAACCATGTCTTCAAAATCGCTTCTCGTTGCGCTTGGGCTTGTAGCCACAGGTTCATTGGTGCATGCAGGGCCTTGTGACATTTACGCCAAAGGCAACACACCATGCATTGCTGCACATGCCACCACTCGTGCTCTGTACAATGCATACAGTGGCCCGCTCTACCAAGTCAAGCGTGGCTCAGACGGTGCCACAACTGACATTGCTCCACTGTCCGCCGGCGGTGTCGCCAATGCAGCTGCTCAAGACAAGTTCTGTGCCAACACGACATGCCTCATTTCCATCATCTACGACCAATCTGGCAAAGGAAACCACCTCACACAAGCACCACCAGGCGCTTTCAAGGGCCCAGACGTCGGCGGTTACGACAATCTGGCAAGTGCTATCGGTGCACCTGTTTCGCTAGGCGGCAAAAAGGCATATGGCGTCTTCATCTCCCCTGGAACCGGGTACCGCAATAACAACGTAAAAGGCTCGGCCGTAAAAGACGAGCCCCAAGGCATATACGCCGTCTTGGACGGTACACATTACAATGGCGGCTGCTGCTTCGACTATGGCAATGCTGAGACAAACAACCTTGACACTGGTAAGTATATCACCTCCCATCAATTTTTGATATCAGCCAATTGACCACCCAAAAAACAGGCAACGGCCACATGGAAGCCATCTACTTTGGTGACAACACCGTGTGGGGCAGCGGCGCTGGCAACGGCCCCTGGGTCATGGCTGACCTAGAAAACGGCCTCTTCTCCGGCGCAAACCCAAAGCAGAACACTCAAAACCCATCCGTCTCAAACCGCTTCCTAACGACTGTTGTCAAGGGCAAGCCTGGCGTCTGGGCCATCCGCGCCGGAGACGCCACCACAGGCGGACTCTCAACATACTACAACGGCTCGCGCCCAAGTGTGTCGGGCTACAACCCCATGAGCAAAGAAGGTGCCATTATCCTCGGTATCGGCGGCGACAACAGCAACGGCGCACAGGGAACCTTCACCGAGGGCGCAATGACGTTCGGGTATCCCAGCGACGCAATCGAAAACGAAGTCCAGGCCAACCTTGTTGCGGCTGGATACTCCACTGGACGCGGATTGATGACTAGCGGACCCGCATACACCGTTGGATCCAGTGTATCTCTCAGGGCCACGACATCTGGCTACACGGACCGCTATCTCGCGCACTCCGGAGCGACAGTGAACACCCAAGTCGTATCGTCGTCGAGCACTGCGCTGCTCAAGCGCCAGGCGAGCTGGATTGTTCGCGCTGGCTTCACCAACAGCGAGTGCTTTGCGTTCGAATCAAAGGATACGGCTGGAAGCTTTCTCCGCCACGCAAATTTCGTGCTGCAGGTCAATGCTAATGATGGATCCAAGGGGTTCAAGGAAGATGCGACATTTTGTCCTCAGGCGGGTCTTACGGGTAAGGGTAGCTCGATTAGGACTTGGGCGTACCCGACGAGGTGGATTCGCCATTTTAACAATGTTGGGTATATTTCGAGCAATGGTGGTGTCAAGGACTTTGATAATGTCAGCTCGTTCAACGACGATATCACGTGGCTTGTTGAGAGTGCCCTGGCTTAAGGGGACCGGGTAGTATGTGGTGGAATTTTATGTAAGTATGAATGCTTCCGACGTATATAAGTTGGTTTTGTCAGAATATGTTGATGAATGGTATATTCCTATGTATATATGGACGGGATTGCCTCTACTATGTAAGCTGCATTTGTTAGCAAATATAAAGATACCAAAGTACTCTAGTAAACTTCTGTTAAATTTCCTCACTTACCTTGAATTTTGGAATTCATGATCGGAAGCGGGCATTGTATCATGTCGCATTTGAACACGAGAAATCAACATCCAGTTCACACACACACTGCATATGAACATTGAACAAGTTTTGTTTAAGCTACTGGTACAAGTTATAGTACTGGCTATCAAGACTGCTTACAAAAAAGACCCGACATCGCCTAGTCTATGGCTAAATCTAGGGGATATACACATCAACAGGGCTGGGAATAACAGAAAGAAGAAGATCCTTTTAGTCAATAAGCAGACTGTTCAGGCGAGCCTCAGTGGCAATAACGTCCAAGGCCTGCTTGACCTCGAGGACTCTTCTGCATTCTGCCAACCAGTCTTTGCTTAGTACCTTTGCCCATCCTTGTAGACTGTTCATTTCTCGTGCAGCAGCATCTAGGTCGCCCTCTTCAAGGAGAACCTCTGTGCGTGCGAGGGTAGCTTCGACGTCGCCACCAACGGCGAGACCAGACTTCTTAAACAGAACCTTGGACATGGCGAGCGAGGCGAGGTGAGAAGCGACACCTGCGTCTTCGGGCAGAAGAGCAGCTTTCCTGACTTCAGCGGCAACACGGCGGAAGCGGTCAATCAGGAGAGCGGAGCTGGGAATGCCGCGTTGGTAGGCGGCGGGGTTGATGCTGGCAATGGCAGCGCTGACAACGGGGTCATCCTCAGCGATTTCCTTGAGAGCGGCCAGCTCAGTGACAAATGGCTTGGGGACGATCTGAGACTCGAGTGCAGACCTTACAGCCTCGACAGCAACGACAAGATGTTGTGTCTTGAGGTTGGCGTCAATGACGCTGTTCCACTCGGCCGTCAGCTTCTCCAACTCGTGCACCGAAGACGAAAGCTCGTTAAGCTTGCCTAGGCGGCCTTCGCGCTCAGCCTCAACACGCTCCTTGACAGTGGCAGTGAAAGCCTTTTGCATGCTGATGCTCTGCTCGAGAAGTTGGTTCTTAAGCTTCTGCTCGTAGACCTTTTGGGCTACTTGCAGCTCAGACTGCAGCCTCTCCTTGTAGCCCTGCGATAGACGTTCGCGCTCGTTTTCGAATTCCTCCTTGAACTGAGCTTCCTGGGCCTGCATTTGGTGGTCGAGGCGCTGTACGAGTTCCTTGGCGGCCTGCTCGAATTCGGCGTGAGCCGCCTTGACCTTGTCCTCGGACTCCTTTTCGAGGTTTGCTTTCATCAAGTTGATATCGGCAACTACCTTGGCAAGGTCGCCCTTGGCCTTGTCGAGGGTCGAGTTGTACTTTCCACCGTTGGACTCGTCCGCGTTGACAACGGTGATGATGTCATTAACAATCTTGACGACATCCTGGACAACGGGCTCAGTGGCAGCGGGGACATTAAGGTGGTCAAGCGGGGCAATAGCCTTGGAAGGGGCTTCTTGCTTGGGCTCTGGCTTCTTTTCCTGAGACGAGACCTTGGGCTGCTGTCCGCTCGACTCGACCTTGTCCACTTTGTTGTTGTCGGCAACGGCACTCAGATGCGGGCCTGTAGTAGCGAGATCGCTGCTGTTCTCCTTGACCGGGCGGGCAGTCAGGCCGCTGTTTCCAGGAATGGTGACCTTGTTCTCTCCCGAGATCTGGGGGTGCAGCCGGGGGTCGCCAGCACGGCCGGGGAAACGCTTCCTAAACTCGCGCTCCTCAAAGTAGGCGACGGCATCCTCTCCGT